CCCCGCCTGCCGTAACATCCGAAGTCGACCGCCGACCGAAATCTTGCAGGTGAACCCGAGTTACATCCTCCACTCGCCAGGAGATTCAAACCGCCTGCGCCCGTGCCACTCCCAGCCTCCCTCACGTGATACACCAGCGAGGACCTGGAGTATTGTACCCGGCATATTACTACACCTCCTCCTACAACCACCCATGTCACAAAATCACTCGACAACCCCTTGTCCACTCCTGCACACACACTTGCAGGCACGCACACACCCACACCCACACACGCGCATGCGCACGCGCACATGCGCTGACTGACTTGTCAGACGATACGTACTTTGAAAGCTTATTACATCAGTCTCTGGCAAAAAGATTGCGCAAGAGGTTGTCAACGATCTCAGGTGGCACGAATGGGCAGAGTCAAGGGCACAGCATTGGCGCCGCAGCATGCAAACACTGAAACACTTACTTTTTTCTACAATGCTGCACTGCTTCCAAGAATGCTCGAAACCCCGCAGGCGTGCAAGCGCGCCAGTACGGGCTGGGTGTGGCGCGGCCCCACGCAGCGGCGGGCGGTTGGGTCCGCCAGGCGAGATGGAGGAGAAGGGGTGCTGCTTGCACGTCCAGTCAAGTCAGCAGTGGGCTTGGACGTTCATGAAGTAGAAATCTTGATGCTCTCGTTGGTGTTTGCTCTTGTTCCAATCTAGCTACTATTGTTTCTAGATACCGTAATGTTGAACGAGTTCATTCGTTGATGCCCAGCATTGCCTTTGCCACAAAAAAGTAGACCACCAGCCCCTGCAGCAGCGCGGGAGGAAGCCGATTAATCAGAAGGCCAGCGGTTGACGCGAATGCGTCAGTGCATTACCAAGGGTCGGGCAGGGCAATGCAGGTTTTGGCCCTTTGCCGCAGCTGGCCTGCCGCGTGAAGTCTGCTGCCAGTGTGCTGTGCAGACGCGCTGGCCCTGCCCCTGCGTGCCGTGGTGGGGTCACCACGACTGATCTCACCGTGCTGTCGACGATGGTCGTCACCAGCGGCACGGACGTCACCGCCGGGTCAAACCTGAGCGGCAGCGGCAGCGGCAGTGCGGCGGGGAGGGCTGAGGGGCCGCTGCTTTTGCGCATGATGACTCGCATCACACGGCTCGCAGCTGGACGCCGCCTGCATCAGCTGTGGATGGCTGCATGCCAGCCAGTGTGTGCCCACAGCGGCGTTCCGCCGATGGAATGCGTATGCGTGGGCATAGAGCAGCCGCTTCTGTTTGCCGTGCGCGTGCATCACCCACCGCAGCCGGTCCGCCAGCAACGTGAAGAACGCGCCCAGGCCGTTGGCCCAGGCCGACACGAGCTGCGAGGTGGGGGCGCACGCGTGAAATGACCATGGCAAGGGGCGCGGCTGGGTGAGGGGCGCCATCCGCGTTGTGGCTGTGACGTGTGGTAGGCTGTGCTTAGCGAGCACAGAGGGAGTGCCGAGGCGCTCGGCAATCCAACCCCGCTGCAGACGTCGTGCAAGGCTGCCGCGACCTCATGCACAAGCCTGAAAAGGGGCCACTGGAGCTTGCGATGAATCCTGGCAGATGCTGGCTGATGCTGCTGGCACTGCCCGCGCGTCCAGGCAAGGGAGTGGCACACTTATCCTCCCTCTGCGCACCGGCAGCGCGATGGCCACTGTCGCGCCGACTTGAGTGGAAATGCCAGACCAGACGCACGAGAAACCCAGGATTGCCAGTCCGAGGATGGCGCCTGCAACGGGAGGCATGCGATGCGTGCAGAGGCGCACGCGTCGCTGGTCGGCGGCCCACACGAGGCGCCCGGCGAAAAGAGCAGCAGGCGGGCGCGCGTGTGGACGCGAGGGCAGGGCCACGCAGCAGCGTCGGCGGGGGACGTCACCGACCGTGGGAGCCGCGTACGCACCCATAAGGCAGCCGGCGCCCGCCTCCTTCAAAACAATCCTTGGGATGTCCCGGTTCGTAATCTGTTTCAGCGCCAATGCCCTGGAAAAGAGAAGGGAGTCGGCAC